ATTAATTTGAGCTCACAAAGGACAAACAAAAAGAACAAAAAACTGGATTCTCTTCATCTCTCTTTTAATAGAAACTAAATACCCAACATGCAACAGGTATCATCAAATGGACATACATGAAACCAAATTCATCATGGCTATTAGTAATGTATAATAATTTATCAGGCATCCATACATTAGAAACAAAAACAAAACTTTAAAAGATGAGCAAAAAGGGAAAGTAAACAGTAAACTTAGTTCTATAACCACTTCTGGATTTATTCCAAGAGCCAGTAAAAGATACGCCTGGGGGGCGCCTGGGGGGCTCAATGCTTTAAGCCTCTGCCTTCGGCTCAGGTCATGGTCTCGGGGTCCTGGGATCAAGCCCCACATTGGGCTCTCTGCTCAGCGGGGAGCCTGCTTTCCCCCCTCTCTCTCTGCCTGCCTCATTGCCTACTTGTGATCTCTGTCAAATAAATAAATAAAATCTTAAAAAAAAAAAAGATACGCCTGGGCTTAGGCAACACCATCAGGTGAGCACACACCCGCCGGCACCTGCTCCGAACCCCGAGATGCCCACGCTCAAGTACGGGCCCGACAGTATGCCCGAAATCACGGCTCTCACAAGTCCAACACGCCGAAGTTCTATTCAGTCCATTAGTTAAGGAACAGATAAGACGTCAAAACCAAACAGCTTATGAGACAATAAGCATATATTCATGAAGAAATCGTTAGAAGCGAAGAGTCAGATACAAACTGAACAAGAAATCACAATCCCACCAGATGGAAACTGCATCTCTGCCGCATCAAAACCTACAAGTTATCACATGCTCCCGCCGAGCGGGAAAACAGCCCCGTCAGAGAGAGTCGAGTCCGGAAAAGACATAAAAGAACACCCAGCAATCTCCTCGTTACCATGTTTGGATGATGATTCTCATAGGAGTGAGATATTGCAAATATTGCATGGAAAACACTTACCTTAAAAATGTATTCATTTATCTGAAAGTCACATTTAACTGTCCACCCTATATTTATCTTTTGAGCCTCATAAGAAGTTAGCAAAAATTTTACAAACCCGTGCGGTCCGGTTGCCAACAGCGTATCTCTTCCATCAGGGCCCCGCGGCGCATCCTTCCTTGCCCAGATCATCGCGGTACTTTCCGCCCCGCTTCCATTCTTCCCGCTTACCACTGGAGGGCGCACGTGACGCCCAGTCTACTGGGTTCCCGGACGTGCGCAGGCCGCAGGAGCGTTTCTGCGTTGGCTCCACTAGGGGACCCTTCGGAAACCTCTCCAATCGCACACCCGGGATCACGCGCTCCCCGAGCATCTGTGCGCACGCGCACAACTCGGGCACGCTCCTTCGGATTGCGCAGCCGCTCTCGCTGAGACTGATGGGAGAGAGAGAGAGAGAGAGAGAGAGAGAGGGCGGCGCCTCGGGAGCGCGCACGCGCGGAGGCCGAGGCCTAGCGGAAGCGGGCGCCGGTGCGGGCCGGGCGGCTCGCGTTCCCCGCGCGGTGGAGATGCCCAGCGGCGGGTGGCGGCCCGAGGACGGCGCGGGGCTGCGCTCTGCGGACGCCTCGGCGCTGCGCAAGGACGACCTCGGCAGCAGGGTGAGTGAGGCCCGGACCGGCCGCTCGGCCCCGCCGCTTGCCGCTCAGTCGTCGCGTTCGGCGGCGCGTTAAGCGGAGACCGTGAGGTTCGGCCCGGTTAGACGCGGGCGGCGCGGGCACCGAGGCGTGCCTGGGTCTTTGCTCTGCGCTTTCCGAGCCGCTGGCAGCGCCCCACACCCGACCCGTGACCTCGCACCCCGACCTGCGCCGCGTCCCGGCGGCCGCGCTGTGTCGGTCGCGAAGACCCGTCGGGTCCGTGTGTGAAGCGCCGTCGACGAGCCCAACAGTCCGCGCGCCGTCGGGCCCCGCCCGCGCCCCGCCTCGCCCGCGCGGGTCCTGCCGAGCTCGGTCGCGGGCTGCCTGCGGAGGGGCGGGGAGGCCCGGGTGCGGGTGCGCGGCCGCCCGCAGACAGACGCTCCGGCACGCGCTGGGCACCGCCGTGCGACCGCCTTTCGGCTGCGAGTGGCCTGCGGTGCGGTTCGGCCCCGTCCCGGACAGCGACCGGTCCTCCAAGCCCGGACCCCTCGGGGTCGTCCCCTCGTTAAAGGGATGAGCGCGCCCGCCGGCTCAGGGGGACGGGTCTGTCCGACGCGGGTCCGAAGGCGCCCACACGGGCTCGTCCAGGAGTTGGGTGGCCGGTCAGTGCGCCCACGGCGGGGACGGTCACGCCCGCGGGGACTCCGCCTCCGAGCGCAGCAGCCGGCCCCAGCCTCCGCCGGAACGAGCGTTTCTGCCCACGGACGAGGGTCTCCGACGGGCGCAGGGCGGACCGCGATCGCAGACCCGCGGCTACGGGAGAGCGTGGGGACTGTTGCTCGCACGTGGTCGCGCCGCGGGCCCGGTCCTTCTGGGGAAGACGCGGCCACCCTCGGAGACAACAGGAGCAAAGCCGAGACGGAAAGCGATCGGCCTCGTGGCCCCATGGAGGGCGTTTGCACGACCTACTCGTGCTGAGCACGTGGCTCCGCTCTTTATACATAAATCACGAAAACCATTGCTAGTCCATGACGCGTGCTACTTTTTTAAAAAAAGCAAAAGCGTGACTTGAAAGAAGTCATTGAAAACGGATACTACTTTTGATGCACATTGTCTGTTTTAAACAAAAAGCACAGACTTTGTTGAATAACTGGGGCCCTTGCATGAGTGCTGGTGACCCTCACCAAACCCCCCGTCTGGGCTCAGTGGGCCCTCCAACACCTGTCAAGTGTAGTCACGGTTTCCTCTCCCAGCTTTCCCCGGCTGCAGTCCACACGCTGCTGTTCAAAAAGAATCCGTGTGTTTGCAGACTGCCCATTTGCACAACCAGCGAATTAGGGCCCCTTGTCCCATCTCTCCAAGTTTAAAAGGCCCTCAGTTGAGCACACTTTTCTAGCCTCTGATTTAAGAAGTTTTTCTTTATTTCAATAGATTAAAGAACAAAAAATTGTCGTGGATGAACTTTCTAACCTGAAGAAGAACAGGGTGAGTTATGAGGATAATTCTGAATTGTAAGTGGGAAGGTTTGGTTATATCTTATTAACTATACACTAAAGTAAAAAGAATTATATGTAAGATTTATATTTGCATTAAAATTTGCAAGATCTCAGCATCTTTTTTTATTTACATTGCTGAAGTGTAAAGTGCCCAAGATTTTATACATGTATGTGGATGTCTGTGTTGATTATAGTTGATAATGTTTTCTTGCCATCATATGAAACTTGCAGTACCTTTGAACCAAACGATATTAATTATACAGTGGTATCTTGGATCTGTAATCACTAATGGCATTGACTTATACTTGAATTTGGTATTTTCTTTTGAAGTGAATAACTTTTAAATATATTAAGAAAGGAAACTATGCCTTTAAGTGACTATGGATAATTGTTGAAAAAACAAAAAGGATAAATTGCTTCCCCCTACCTGAAATTATTTTACACAAGTCTTCCATATATTTAACATGGTTATCTAATGTTATGTGCATTAATGTATTCATAAACAAGCAAGCTACTGCTTTATGTATAGTTATACTGTCAGAAATTACATTTTAAAGTTCAGGAAGAAATTATTTTGAGCCCTTTAAAGCCTTTGATAACTAACAGGTTGTTTAACGTTTTTGGTATTGTTCCTTTTGGAATTTTAGAATTTAAGTCACAACTGATACAGACTTCCTAGAGGTCAAGTTGGCAGAATGTATCAAAACCTTACAACTATGTAGCACTTTGACCCAGTTCCATTTATAGTAATTGAGTGAACAAAGATTTAGTTACCAAAACTTCATTGCAACATTGATTTATAAAGTTGGTAATGTCTTAAAGGTCTAAAACTTGAGGACTTATGGGATAAACTGTAGTGTTATACCCATACAGTAATGTTGTAAAAGAATACTTATTGATAAGGAAAAGTATTCCCAATATATTGTTCATTGATAAAAGCAAATAATCTATTTATAATAAGAGCCTTTTTTTTTTTTCAAGGAAACTGATAGTTTGATATATGCAGAGAAAAAACATTTCAGCTCAGTGTTAATGGTAGCAGTTTCTAGGTGGTGAGATAATGGGTGACTTTTATTTACCTATATTTACTAAGGTATTGTTCTGAATATGTGTTACTGAAGTTCAAGAATATGCAATAAAAGGGTTCAGAGTTTTGACATACACTTTTTAGATCAAATCCTGATATTAGTCTAAATTATGTTTTGCAGAAAGTATATAGGCAGCAACAGAACAGCAACATATTCTTTCTTGCAGACCGAACAGAAATGCTTTCTGAAAGCAAAAGTAAGTTTTTTTGGTATATTATATAGAAATGCATGAAAAGCCTTTTCAGAGTTTTCTGTAGAAACTCATGATAGTGCCTAAATTATGCTGTCTACATCTGAATGCTCAAATATATATCTGAAGATTGGATGGCAGTATGTTAGATGAAATTAATGCTGTGGTCTGGTTTTTCTTTAAGTTAGCCTTCCAAAGATGGAAGTCTACAGTAAAAAAATAAAATAAAAATATATGTGTTAGAAAGCCATAATTATTGTCTGCTTTAGAATTTTTTTGGCAGATCTAGGTATGAAAACTGCTCTGCCACTTTCTCCCTTTGTAACTTTGAGTGAATTACTTTGAGCTTCCAAAGTTTTTTGGAATTTAAACAAGAAGGAATAGATAAAGTTTATATAGCCCAGTGCCTGGGCCAAAATAAGCATTTAATAAACAGAAGTTATTTTCCTAAAAGATAGACATCTGTCATTAGAAGCCTTTTGAATGCAGTGCCTGTACTCTAGTGGTTTGATCTTGGTAATTGTTGCTCTATGAATTACTAGGGAAAGGTCTGAGAATTTTCATTTTACTTAATATTTCTTCTCCCCTCCCCCACAGATATATTGGATGAACTGAAAAAAGAATACCAAGAATTAGAAAACTCTGAGAAGACCAAAATCAAGAAAGAGTCAACTTGATTTCACATAACAATGTGTGGCATTTGTTGTTCTGTGAGCTTTTCTGTTGAGCATTTCAGCAAAGATTTGAAAGAGAATTTACTGTATAATCTTAGCCGACGGGGACCCAGTAGTAGTAAACAGTTGTTAAAGTCCAGTGTTAGCTACCAGTGTGTGTTTTCTGGGCATGTCCTTCACTTAAGAGGTGTTTTAACTGCCCAGCCTGTGGAAGGTGAAAGGGGCGATATTTTCCTGTGGAATGGAGAAGTCTTCAGTGGCATAAAGGTTGAAGCTGAAGAGAATGATACTCAAATAATGTTTAATTACCTTTCCTCCTGTAAGAATGAATCTGATATTTTGTCACTCTTCTCAGAAGTCCAAGGTCCTTGGGCTTTTATATATTACCAAGCGTCTAGTCATCATCTATGGTTTGGTAGAGACTTTTTTGGTCGCCGTAGCCTGCTTTGGCATTTTAGTAATTTGGACAAGAGTTTCTGCCTCTCTTCAGTTGGCCCACAGACATCCGGAGTGGCCAGTCAGTGGCAAGAAGTTCCAGCATCTGGAATTTTCAGAATTGATCTCAAGTCTGCTTCCATTTCCAAATCTGTGGTTTTAAAATTGTACCCTTGGCAATCTGTTTCTGGGGAGAATGTTATCAAGGAGTGTGTTAATAGCCTAATTCAGGTTTCAGCAGACTTGCCAACATTTGTCTCAGTGGTAGCAAATGAAGCCGGGCTACATCTGAAGGAACCTGTTGTTCCTTTAAATAGGACATTGCGGCAAGCTCCGCTTGAGATCTCCGGCGGAACCGTCGCCAGTGTCCCTCCTACGAGGGAAACGCTTCAGATGTTTCTTACTGACGGACACATGAAGGAAGTCGTTCAGCAGTTCCTCGAGGTCCTGAGTCTCGCGGTGCAGAGACGTGTCTCGTGCTTACCCAGGGATGCAAACCTGACCCCCGGTGCGGCTTTGGAAACGGGTGCCAGGAGAGCAAACGTCGCGGTCCTGTTTTCGGGGGGTGTCGATTCCATGGTTCTTGCAGCCCTCGCGGACCTCCACGTACCCCTGGATGAACCCATCGATCTTCTTAACGTGGCTTTCGAGACTAAAGAGAAGACCGTATCAGCTGGTTTTAACCAAAAGAGGAAAAACCAGAAAAGTCGTTATGAAACACCTTCCAGAGAATCCTCTGGAGATAATGCGGCTGGCAGCGGGGACAGGCGCGCTGACAGACGGTTCGATGTGCCAGATCGCGTCACGGGAAGAGCGGGACTAAAGGAGCTACGAGCCGCGAACCCTTCCCGGATTTGGAATTTCGTTGAAGTTAATGTTTCTCTGGAGGAGCTGCAAGAGTTTAGAAGAGCTCGGATACGCCACTTGGTTCAGCCCTCGGATTCGGTGTTGGATGACAGCGTTGGCTGCGCAGTCTGGTTTGCTGCGAGAGGAGCTGGTTGGTTAGCGGCCCCCGGCGACGTGGGATCCTATCGGAGCAGCGCCAAGGTACGGGATGGCAGGCACCCCGGACTCGGAATTTCCGAGACCTGATTTGGACCCTTTGAAGCTACTAACGTGGTGGCGAGAATATAGCATATCTTAATTGCATTTAATCAACAGTGCTATGTGTAAGACTTTCTAAAAATTGGGCGTATTTTACTGTTTTATGACTTCCCTTGTTTCTGTCAGAAAATATGCTTGAGATAACTTTTAAAGCTTTGCTTTTATTTTAGTTATTTCCTTTATCTCATATTGGGAGTATGGCTTTCCTTAAACCATCACAGGTGGTTCTTTCTGGAATTGGTGCTGATGAGCAGCTTGCGGGTTATTCTCGCCATCGTGTCCGCTTTCAGACACACGGAATGGAAGGGTTAATTAAGGAAATTGAGATGGAACTGGGACGAATATCTTCTAGAAACCTTGGTCGTGATGACAGAGTTATTGGTGATCACGGAAAAGAAGCAAGGTAATTCTGCTCATGCGCGTGCTGTGGGTAGTTCTGTAGAAACACTAGACTGTAAGAGAAGATTTTCACGTTCCTTCTCTTTGGAGACTGTTCACACGAATCGCAGTAGAAACAATAATGTCTCGGCCTCTGTCACAAACACTGTCCATTAGAGGGAAAGCTGGGGAGCTGTCGGGGAGCAGTTGTTTTCCAGAACTCATTGTCTAAGAAATGTCTTTTTGGTCATTTTCAAAGATAATACAATGACCTGATTGTTTTCCATGTTATGTGGGAAAGACTGTAAAACTGAGGTAATGAAATGCTAGAGAGGGTATTTTTAAAGGGTTGGGTTTTGTTTCAAATGTTTGCTTTCGTCCCAGTAAGAGCATAGGCCTTATTCCCACGCTTTCCCCTCCAGCGTGAGGGCACCGGGCTTTGTCACCATGGACATTCTGTGTGTAGAAATCCACACCCACCTCTCGTCGGACTCAGTCTGGTCAGACGTTGCAGATTCCCTGAAAGTGTCAGAGACATCGGGGCACTTTCATATGTATATTCTTTTTTTAATTCAGGAATTTATTTTTACCTCCAATGAATGTCTGATGGCAGGCAGTAAACAAATGCTTGAAGACAACTTTAATAAATTATTAAGGATAAAGAAAGAGGTATTGTTTAGTTACAAAAAGCAGAAGTTTGTTCAAGTAGGTTAATTAATTAGGTGGTAGTTTATTACAAGTGTGTAAGCATGTGAGAACAGAGAGTCCAGTAAGCTTTGTGAGAACTGGAACATCATAGTACAACACTCTAACACTTCACTCTTAACACTACTTCAGCTTTTCAGTATATATAGAAAATGTGTAAATTCTATATATATCGACTCTACATATATAATATACATACATAATTTATACATACTACCATAATATAAAAACTATAAAATGTTTTCCTTTTGAAGGGTGTATATATTTGAGAGAGAGACAAATTCAGTCTTTATTTCAGATAGGTCATAGAAAAGAATTTATTCTATTTAGTAAAACTTAATTCTAAAGGCCCCATATGATACCCTCATATGAAGAAAGTTTGAAACAACGAATACAGACTTGTGCTTTAACAAAGATGATAGTGGCTGGATCTAAATAATTCATTAATTATGCATCTTGGCATATATATTAACAGTGATCAATTAGATTATCTTATAGAGAGAGATATTTTTGCAGTTGATTCACTTTTATAAAATATTCCATGTAACAAGTGCCTTTACCCTTTCCGGTCTCTCTGTGTAAGCTAGAATAAGATACAATAAAACAGAAACACTAATGTAACAGTATTGCATTTAAAGAATTAGAGGGAGAGTTTCAAAGTATTTTAAACAAAAACGAGAATTTTATAGGAAGCTAGGGAAACCAAGAGGCAGAAAGGGTTTTTTTTTGTTGTTGTTTTTTTTTTCAATCTAATACATCTTTCTGTTACACCATTTGTCTCCGTTTAAAGGGCATTCATGCAATCAAACAATTTTTTAGAAGATTTATTTATTTCAGAGAGAGAGCATGAGCAGGGGAGAGGCAGAGGGAGAGGGAATCCTCAAGCAGACTCCCTGCTAAGCTTGGAGCCTCCCATGGGGCTCAGTCCCCCAACCCAACCAGGCGATATCCCAAGCCAAAACCAAGAATCAGACACTTAACCAACTGTGTCACCCAGGCACCCCAATTTTATTTTAAGATTTATTTATTTCAGAGAAAGAGTGTGTGCAGGAGTGCGAACAGGGGAAAGGTGGAGGGAGAGGGAAAGCAGACTCCCTGAGGAGCACAGAGCCAGACTCAGAGCTCTATCCCTGACTGGGAGATCATGACCTGAGCTGAAACCAAGAGTCAGATGCTCAACTGACTGAGCCACCCAGGCGCCCCTAAATCATTTTGATGCCATAAAATTTTACCCTAAGTAAATGTTTCACAAGTTCAGGATTATAGAGCCCTTCTATATTGATTTCATACCTCTAAAGTTAGTTTTCTTTTGACGTGATAGAGAGTACACAGATTGAGTAATTGAATCAAGACTGTACTTGTGGGACACCTGGGTGGCTCAGTCGGTTAAGCCTCTGCCTTCAGGTCAGGTCATGATCCCAGAGTCCTGGGATCCAGTCCTGCATCAGGTTTCCTGCTCAGCAGGGAGCCTGCTTGTTCTTGTCCCAGCACCCCCCATGCCCCCCCATCCCCGATCGGGCTCTCTCTCAAATAAATAAATGAAATCTTAAAAGAAAAAAGAAAAGACTGTACTTATTTTCAAGGCATCCCCAAAGAAACCTTGTGAAACAATTTGAGATTATTTCTTACCATAGGCCTAATTTATTTATTTTTTGAGGCAGAATCTAATTTATTTTGTAGCCTATGTATTAAAATTAGTAACGTGAAATATTTGTTAATGTGATTAAGTTTTAGCCGTAAAATTGTGTAAATAACCAGAGTATTTTTAATTGAGAAAAACAGTGCCATCAAAAATTAATTTGATGTTGGGGCGCCTGGGTGGCTCAGTGGGTTAAAGCCTCTGCCTTCAGTTCAGGTCATGATCCCAGGGTCCTGGGATGGAGCCCCGCATCGGGCTCTCTGCTCAGTGGGGAGCCTGCTTCCTCCTCTATCTCTCTCTGCCTGCCTCTCTGCCTATTTGTGATCTCTGTCTGTCAAATAAATAAATAAAATCTTAAAAAAAATTAATTTGATGCTATAAATTTTAACGTTGAATAAAATGTAAAAGAAAAATCATAACTTTTTTTAATACTTATGTGATTATATTTATGGTTCTATTTATCTGCTTATTTTAGATTTCCTTTTCTGGATGAAAATGTTGTCTCCTTTCTAAATTCCCTACCAGTTTGGGAAAAGGCAGACTTGGCTTTGCCCCGTGGAATTGGTGAAAAACTAATTTTGCGTCTTGCAGCAGTGGAACTTGGCTTAACAACCTGTGCTCTCCTGCCAAAGCGGGCCATGCAGTTTGGATCAAGAATTGCAAAAATGGAAAAGAATCATGAAAAGGCATCTGATAAATGTGAAAGACTCCAAGTCGTTTCCTTAGAAAACCTTTCTAGTGAAAAGGAGATGAAAGCATAATCCTTCAGCATGTTAACATTTACTGAATGATGATTATGTAAAAAGAAAACATTCTGCTGCCCTTTTATTAAATAATGCAATGGTATGAAGGTTCATTACATGAATTTTTACCTAGCTATAACTTAATATAACCAACTGAGTCAGATTGACACTGGAGGAAAAAGAGAGAATACTTGAACAACTTGGATGTTTGAAGCTGTGACACTAACATCACGCTGAGCTCTCACATGGTAACGTCCCACGGGCAACATTAAAAGAAAGCAGCTTTTACCAACTCTTTTCTTGGTAGCTACACCCAGAAATAACTCAATTTGTTGTTGTCAGGGGCCTGGTTAAACAGGGCTCTTTGACAGATGAGAAAACTAAGGTTTAGAGAGGCTGAACAATTTGCTTGAGGTTCGCACTCCTGGGCAACACTGGTTGGTTCTGTTACATCTCTTTAGGCAGCTGATTTTCCCACTCAGAACTTCTGATGATTTTTAGCGTTCTCCTGTCCCCCAAATCTCTAGCTTCCCTCTCTTGGCCTCATTCTCAGCTCATGACCTGAGCTTTTCACAGAGAATCAGAGTCATCGGGACAGGAAATGCCTCCACTCGCCAACACCAGAACTTCTACCTTACCTGTAGGTACACCCATCCTTTTCTCCCTTCTGGTTACTAGAAAGGGAGATGCGTCCACGCACCCTTCGGATGGCTGTGTGGCCACCTGTTCTCCGTATCCCAACCCTTCTTGCCTTACAGGACCCTTACGCTCCTCCAGTATCTTCAGCCTCTTCTCTGAAGGATCCTTCCTACCATCATTTAAGGTGTTCTGGTCTACCCAACTTCAAACGCACATATGTGGTTCTGTATCTTCCTCTGCTTGTCACCTCAAGCCTCCCATCCACACTCACCATCTCCACCGTGTCATCTCCACTCCAGCCTGACATCCACCTGCATGAGCTACGACCACCATACCAAGGTCATGGGTCCATCCCCAATTAGAGCTGACATCCTTCCTGGATCTGGACACGCTTTGATTCTTTTCATCTTGGTGGGAAAGCAGTTTTAGGATACTGACAAAAAGAGGCCTGTCAGAGACTTCCACATGCCCTGAATTTATCCCCTGGGAAAAACCATATTTAGATACTAACCTTAATAGCTTTCATCCCTCTACCTGAGGGCAGACAACTTCAAGTGTCTGTGTGATCCTGAGCACCAAATTGACGTCGTTCCTATCAGGAATAAACTAACAGCTTTGCCCAGCAGCCTAGATTGGATATAATGAAGTAACCGTAGAGTTCAACACTAAAACATCTACCATTGAGACAGATGACTGTGTGGCCGGCACTGCTTTGGCAGCTCTGCGTGGATCAACCCAGCTGAACCGCTAGGGGATTGCCAGGTCATCTCTAGCAGGATGCTGTGTGTGCGGGTTTGCTGTTCTGTTGTGTTCCCGGAGAGCCTAATCCTTCAGAACCTCTTAGGACTTCACTGCATAAACCCTGGGATGAAGTTCTGTGTTAGTCCTTAGTTTTTCCAAGATTTGAAACACTTAGAACAAACCATCTGGTACCTGAGCAAAAAACATGTCAGTAGAAGAATTTATATATGTTGTTCATAAGTGCAAAGACCCAAATCTGTTACAGAAGCGATGATGTCTTTACATCCCTGCCCTGGAACAGCAATAGTATCTAGCGCTACCCCCACAGCACCTACAATCATGACCTGGTTGGACTAAGAAATGATGCCCCCACACAGTCACTAAAACATACACGTTGGTACACTCAGTGGAAGAGTTTAAGTTGTCCCCCTCGACCTAGCAGCAGCAGACAGTGAGGCTGGGCATTCCCTTACTCACGAAGCGCTTTTGCTTCTGTGCCGGATCTTGGTTCTCCTCCTGCCTTCCTGACTGCCGGCCCTTTGTGTTCCTCACTGACTCCATCCTCTCCACCTGAACTTTAGACAGTAAAATTCTCAGGTTTCCGTCCTGGGTTCTGAACTTCCCAATTCTCCCCCTTGGTGATTTCAGCCACTCCCTTGGTTTCACCCACGCTAAGCCTGCCCAGAGGTGTGCATCTACCCCCAGCCTGCCGTTCCTAGCCCGAACCCGACGTGTACAGTCGAAGGATGGCATCTCTACTTGGTTCTCTCACACATATGTCAAGGTCAACATGTCCACAGCTGAACTCTTCATCTTACCCTGATTCCCCATTTCTCCGGACAGAAATTTGGGTGTCATCTGGATAGCCACTTTCTGTTTGGGTCACCACCACCTCCCAGTCCGTTGCCACCTCATTGTTTCTCCAGGCCACCCACGACCGCGCATCTCCACTGCCGCACACTGGAGCTGTACCTCGCATCTGCTGACACCAACATGGCCTAAATCTTTAAAGTTCAAAATTATTAACTCGGCGACCTGGGTGATTAGGGCCTAATTTTGTGCCCATTGTCTCTCTCGTTCTTGAAGCAAGGCTTTGGTTTCTCAGAAAGTTCAACGACCTTCTCAGCCGGGTTCTTCAGCACCTGTTGTTCCCCATCCCCCGACGTCTGCTTCTCCGTCTATGCTCGCACAGCTCTCGTCCATCTTTCCGGCCCAGTTTAAAAATACCACCTTCCCCAGCAGCCTTTCCCGGCCCGGGGTCTCGTTAGGTTTCCTTCACGGGCTGTCATGACATCTCCCATTCGTCACCCTGTTTAAATGTTATCCATGTGACTGGAAGCTCCCGGAGCTTGTGTGTGTCCGGCCCTCCGGGGTCTCCAAGCCCCGGGGCCGGTGCCTGGCTCATAATACGCGTCCCAGAACCCCTTGCCGCGTGGAAGGGTGGGGATGCGGGTGGGATTCCAACCCGGGATTCCTTCCGAGCCCGGCGCCTTCACCTCTGCCACTCTGGTTCTGGGTTTCCGTGGAAGTGAGAAGTGATGGGGGAGCGCGGGGGTGGGAGCGGGAAGCTGGGCTGAGTTCTACAGGCGGCAGGGGCAGGGACAGGTGGCCCGGACAATTCGGCAGCGCCGAGTGCCCGAAGCACTGCCCGCGGGCGCCGAGGGGCGGCCCCTGCGGCGGGCCGGGCCGTCCTCGCGAGGCCCCAGGGCTTCCACGCGTGGGCCCCAGCCGGAGGCGGAGGGTTCCCGGAGGAGCCTCCCCAGGCGACCGCCGCAGGAGAGGCCCTCTCAGATCTCCCCTGCCACGGCCCCCCTCGCCCACGCAGGGATCCTGAATGTGAGAGGCCGGTCCAGGAGAATAGACCACTGAACCCGGTCGCTGTGAATATTCTGGGGACCAGAGTGGACGCAGCTTCCTTCTCCTGGACAAGAAAGGAATCATTCCAAAGTAGGTTTCTTCCCTTCCCTTGTCCTGTCCCCTCTCTCGTGTCCCTATGGGCGTAGGCCTTGGGCCAGACCTGGGTTGGTTCTGATTCTTTAGGTGTGAAACCCTAGGCACTTGCCGTAACCTTCCTAGTCTTCATGTCTGCGTCTACACAGCGGGGAGACCAGTGCCTCTCTCGGAGGCTTGGACTCTCCAAGTGTCCCCTCCGGACGAGCAGCATCAGCATCATCGCTGACTTTTCAGAAATGCAAATTACCCAGCTCAACCCAGCCGACTGGATCAGAAACTCTAAGCAGGGTCCACCTGTGTTTCAATAAGCTCTAGGTGGTTCTGCTGCAGGGAGAGTGTTGAGAAGCACAATAAGAGAGGGGCCAATTAAATGAGATAACTAAAATATTATGTATAAAGAGCTGGGCAAGTAGTAGACGCTCAAAAGACCGTGGTTATGGTCATTCTTATTCCAAGAACAGAAAGGCAGTTAGTGACATAGAAACAGAAAGTTAAATAGGCTTTTCCTGTCTTTCCTTTTAAGCAGGTCTTTATTTTCTTGCTTTAAAAAAAAAAAAAACTTAAAACAAAATAAAAATATACAAAAAGTCTTATATGTAGAATTTTTAAAAACACACAAGCTCATAAATACAGGGAACAGATTGGTGGTTGCCGGAGGGGGTTGGGGGTTTGGTGAAGCTGGAAGGGAGTCAAAAGTGTAGACCTCCAGTTATAAAGAAAAGAAGTCATGAGGATGTAATGTATAGTGCGGCAACTATAGTTAATAATACTGCACTGCCTTTTGAAAAGTTGCTGAGAGAGCAAATTCTTAAAAGTGTAGGTATCATAAAAGATTTTGTAACTATGCAGGTTGACAATGTTAGCTGGACTTCTGTGGTGATCATTTAAAAATATAGACAAATATTGAATCATTGTGTTGTAGACCTCAAACTAATGTTTATGACAATTACACTTCAACTGTTTAAAGTGTTACATGCTAAAAAAAGGTTGAAAACTATCATGGTTGACCATAAAGCAACCTAATAAAGACAAAGGTACAGATGGATCTGAGAAATCCAACTTCGTTAGCATGACAGATCTCACGGCCTGTCTTTTCCTTTCTTTCATTACAGAAACTTCAGAAAGGCCACCTACAATTAATAAGAAATGTTAAGACTGCCCAAAAAAGGCTTACCTAGATTTGATCAAATTCAAGATGAAGAAACCTACCTGGAAAACTTGGTGGTACAGAGAAACGCTTCTGCTTTTTTTGAGAAGTACGACCGGACGGAAGTGCAGGAGTTGCTAACCACGGCCCTGGTCAGCTGGCTGTCCGCCAAAGACGACGTCCGCTCTCAGCTCGACCTCCCGTGTGGAATTATGACCCAAATGAACAATGTGGGCTTCTCCACTGCCATCCTGTTGACTCCTGTGGACCCGACTGCCCTCTTAGACTATAGGGAAGTCCATCAAATCATAAGGGAGTTGGCTGTTGGAATTTATTGCTTAAATCAAATTCCCTCAATCAGTTTAGAAGCTAATTACGATCAGAGTTCCTCTTGTCAATTACCACCCGCTTATTATGATACCAGAATTGGGCAAATTCTGATCAATATTGACTACATGCTGAAAGCATTGTGGCACGGGATATACATGCCCAAAGAAAAACGAGCCAGATTCTCTGAACTGTGGCGTACTATCATGGACATTGATCCAGACGGGAAGCCTCAAACCCAAAAAGATATTTTTGCAGAGTTTAGTTCTGCAGGTAAGAGAATCTAACATGCTTTATTTTTATTAGAAGCCATCTTTTTAATTTAAAAGTGATTTATCTTTGTCTCAGTTGGAGTTTTCAGTTTATACCTTTTGTCTTGTAGAGCCCAAGTAGGAGAATCAGTAATAGAGCCAAGAGTAGAATTAAAGTGCATGAGAAAAATCTCCAAACTTGGAAACAAAATGACTGTGGATAGTCAAAATGACTATAGACAAAATGACAAAAACAAAATGAGAGTGGATAGTCATCTACGTCGCCATTTTATAAACCTCAAAAATGAATGATAGAATTGAAGTTAGGGAGAGATGTGCATCAGTGATCTAGGCTTTGGTGTTTTAGTAGCATTGGGCTTAATGAGTATTTGTTCTTGGTTCACCTAATTTTTAAGTTCCTTCCTTCTTAGGGCCATATTTCTCTAAAGCCTGTATATTCACAACAGATACCAGTAAATCCTGGAGCATCTTCCCAGCAACTGACCACATCATTGCCTTAAACACTGTGCTAACGTGGATTCCCAAGGGAGTCAGCAGGAGGCCAGCTCTCTAGGAGGGGAGATGGCTAAGAATCAGTCTGGCCGTGTTAAACTTCATTCACCTCTCTGATTTGCAATTTACGAAACCATCAGCGAACACCACTCAAAAAACAGTCATAGCAGCTGTAGAGAACAGAGCGTATCAAAATCTGGTCATATTATCTAGTTTTCTGTAGGGGATTTTAATTACGGAGGGTTTCTTATCTGAGTAATTCTTGGATTCTTTAATTTATTACATTAGGTTTGTGGGATGAGAGGATAGAAGGGAAACATATTCTTGCGATAGAAAAATGTGGAGGGGATAACTTTTAGTTAAAATACAAATAAATGTATGTATTTATTAAAACAAATATATATATATACTATATATACATATATTGTATATATATACACTCATTTCATAGCACGACAGATAAAATGGAATGGTTTTTGTTATTTTTCCTTATGCCTCTCCTCATCCCCTGTCCTTTATCTGCCACGGTCTTCTCCCCAACACCTCACCTCACTCTTCCGCATTCCTCCCCAGGTTATAGCTCTTCATTTCTCAAGGCTTGGATCAGACACAGCCTCTTCTCTTTTACACACCCTCTGTCATTTTGTATTGAAATTACCGATTTCCTCTGTCTCCCTTATTAGCCCTTAAGCTCCTCTTCAAGAGCACAGAAAAGTATGTCTTTTTCTTCTTCAGATTCCCCAGCACCTCACACTGTGGATGGTACAACGTAAACGTTCAGTGCCCGTGGAAATTAAGCGTTAATAACAACAAAGTGTGCGGGGAAAGGAACTGAAGAGACTCTTGGGTTTCTAGTTTGAGGCACTGAGAGATAAATAGTTCCATTAACCGCGAACGAAAGAAAGTACATTTCAGGGACAGGGAGGGTGTTTGCTTTGGGAGTGTTTCTGGACCTTCAGATAAAGACATGCATCTGGCACAGAAAGAACTGAGTTCGGGAGCAGAAGCAGGGTAGGAGGCGAGACTAAAAGAAATTAACGTAGAGGGCGATACAATGGGATCGTGTGTTTCCCCTTCTTCATCTTCCAAATTTAGTTATAACCAGTTTTTTAAATTAAATCCTTTCTCATTTTTTACTTTCTTATGACTTTGTACATATGATTTGCATAACATGTTGTGATCACATTTCCTTTCTTTTTTTTTAATTTTTTATTTTGTGTATTTATTTATTTGACAGAGACAGAGATCACGAGCAGGCAGAGAGGCAGGCAGAGAGAGAGGGGGAAGCAGGCTCCCCACCAAGCAGGGAGCCCGATGCGGGGCTCGATCCCAGGACCCTGAGATCATGACCCGAGCTGAAGGGAGAGGCTTTAACCCACTGAGCCACCCAGGCGCCCCCACATGTCCTTTCTTTAATACCTTCACATTCTTTGTGCCATGAACTGCGTCACGTAAGACATCAGGTCCGGCTCCGGCTCAGTCCGCAGCTCCCCGCGGTACCGTCGAACGCCCGGGAGCAGCAGGTGCATCTCCGCTCGGGACGTCCCTCTTCCCCCCCCCCCCCCCCCCCCGTTTCTATGGGAACTGATGCTCTTCGCTACCCTTCGCAGTCCGGCTCTCCAGAGTCCTTCCCCGCGCTCCGCCCCGCGCCGCTCTGCCCCGCCCCGCCCCGCCCCGCCCTTCCCTCCCCACCCCTACCCCGCCTTTCCTCGTGCCCCTTCCTCGTCCTCCCGGTTCTCGTGGCCACACAAGCTCCGGGTCGCTCCGGGCTGTCCAGGCGTGGACGCCCGCGGCGCGTTCTCCTGGCCGGGGGCGGGGGCGTCGCGCTGCGGGGGTCGGGCCGGGGCCTTGTCCGCTGGCGGGGAGCATCTCCCCAGAGGCCGCACCTGCCGTCTTTCCGCTTTGGTCCACCCGTCCCGCGGCGTCCGGCCTGGACGGAGGGGGAGCCCGGCCAAGGCGGGGCAGGAGCTTGGGGTCTCCCGCGCGCAGACCCTCCCCGCGCGGTTTTCCGCTCGGCGGCTCCAGCCCTGCGGGGGAGGGGAGGGGCGGTGCGCGCTAGGGGAGGCGGTCGGGGGCTCGCTGCGCCCTAATCGGGCTGGGAGCCGACCTTTCCTGCCCCTCCCCCCCTTTTTTGGTAATTCTCACACGGGGACCCGCCCCCGCAGGTTCCACGCTCCCACCCCCTCCTCCTTCCCATGCTGTCCTTGGGGGCGGGGGCGGCGGTAACTTCGACTCCGGGACCTGCGGGCGGGAAGGTCCACGTGCGTCCGGGTCCCGGACCCTCGTGCTCGGCCGGCGACAGCTGCGCTGCTGCCCCGCGGCCGCCCCGGGCTCCCGAGCGTGCGGCGTCAGCAGGTGCGCGCGCTCACGTTCGGATCTTCTTTTTAGAAATACTTTAGTACTTTTCGGGAATGCTTCAATTTCTTTATAATTTCTTAATTTAACCTTTGCAAGAGGGAAGTGAACCATAGTAGCCATTTAAAAATCCAAGTATATTCTGGCTTTTATCGTCTGTTTTTCTTTTAATACCTTTGAGGAAGGACAAAAAGGAAAGAGAAAGGGAGGCACATGGAGGTATCGTTTGCACTTTTAAGACACAAATGTTAGACTCCACATTTTCTACCAAGACATATTTTAGGATTCCATGCAGTTTTCTCAAGCTTAGATTAAGGGTAGCATTATAAGTGTACCTTTCCTTAAAAAGACAATTGGACGACAAGGAAGTTCTTAATTTCATCATAAATAGGAAGAAAATGTAACAGGAAATTTGTCACTTATAATAGAGTAAAATCAAGTTTAAATTCTTATTTGTTTCATCCCAGTTAGCGAGAAAGTTCTCTATTGTGTATGTTTAGCTTCTGATATCAGCAAAAACAAGAAAGATGTAATAGAAGGCTTGAAACAGCAGATTATACTTTTAGCCAAGTGAAAAGTTGAATCCCTGCTTTTGTTCTTCCATAGTTACCGTGATTAAATATGAGACATTGTATCCATGGTATTGGGTTTCATGCTTCCAAAGGGAATGGAAATCTATCTCAATCTACAAGCTTTAGTCTTTCTTTACTCTGCTTAATTCCCACTCATCCACTTGCTTTTCATCTTTAACAAATTTCTTGGCATCTCATTATTCCTTTATTGTCACTGTAGTAGGATTTCCAGATGAAACCCAGTGTTCAATCTCCTCTATTTATCCAGAAGCCAAGTACGATGTTTCACTATCTACTTTTTTTTTTTTTTTCTGTCAAGGCCTGACTGATGTCACGAAGGACCCAGACTTCGATGGGATCTATGACGAAGACATGAATGAGGATCCCACGTACGATCCCAATAGCCCTGAAGAAAAAGCTGTTTTTATGAAATATGCTGAAAACATTATGCTGAAATTAACATTCAGTACCACACAAGTTCAGCAGTATGAAAATGTTTTTATATTTGAAGCAGCCTATTGGCTTACAAATGCTATAAAATGTACTCAGGACTATCTTGATATTTGTACCTACCAGAGGCTACAGCAAAGATTGTATCTCCAGAAAAAGATTATTCAAAAACACTTTGAGAAGAAAAAAGAAATCAGAAGAGGGATAGGATACCTAAAGTTAATATGTTTTCTGACTCCATTTTTATTGAGTTTAAAAAAGAAGATGAAAGTTCCATATTTAAGTAGTCTGCTTCCGCCTTTTTCAGGTAAGCGTATCAATAAAAATCAAATATAAAATAATTACATATATATGCACACATATATATTATATTTAAATTCAACTTTGCTCATAGTAGGTGTGTCCAGGCATATAACCTTGCTGTAGCCTATTAGGAAACAAAATAAAACAAAATTCAATGTCTCCAAGGTAGTTAAAAATATTTGCCATATGTACGTAGTGCTTGGTATATATTTATACCAATTATAAGGCCTATTAGGAGGCTTAAAACAAATTCTGAGAAGAATAGGGAAATATGCTGTGTTCATTATGGGACATATGATACACTGTGACTGTATCATATCTGATCTATAAACCTATAAATTCAAGGCACTTCTATTAAAATCCCTCTCATGTTTTTCATGGAAGTTTATAAATTGATTCTGAAATTATTATGGAACAGTGAAGGATCATGAATGGTGTTACATTTCTGAAAAAGAGACAAAAACATATTTTAAAACTGTTATACACAAACGAACCGATGTAAGAGACTGGAGAACTGAAATAGGACCGTACTTGCATTGACTCTGACACGTAGTGCAAACTGTTCCCTGCGCCAAGATGAGTACACAATTTATATATTTTCATTGGTGCCCAAATATGTAGGCTTATTATGGTTGGCTTTCTACAGGTGGCAAGTTTTCAGTAGAAATTTTGCAGGTCATTTAATGAAAATTTGTATCATGAGCATTCAAATGGTGAAAATTATTACCCTTATCCATGAACTACTTAAAAATGGGCTCGTGACCATTCTTATCCTGGGGTGGAGGTAGGAGGGCAGTGCATATGGAACCAAGAAGCCCTTGATTAAAGAGAATATTAGCTATAACTGTAATGTTTTATTACTTAGATTTTTGGAAGCAAATATGACTCAATGTTAATAGTTCCAAGTGGTGATATTCGGATGTTATATTTATTCCTTGAACTTTTCTGTGCCGTTTACATTTCTCAAAATACATTGTATGCTTTACATTGTTGAAACAATATTCTGCTTCTAAATCAAAATCCTGGACAAACCTAATCATTACTGGAGTTTTAGAAAATTATTTTTGTAAAATAAATGTTGTATGTGTGGTTTTATGACTTCCAAAAAGGTGAGCTGGTTATTTTTGTCCGTGAGAGATACTTACCTATTTCTTTTTAATGTCTCTTTTTACCTGAGCCAGCTCAGGTTAAGTTTTTGTTTTTGTTTTTGTTTTTTTACTTAGCGAAAGATTCTCTGAGACATAGTTTCAAATCTTTTCTGACAATTGGAGGTAATATATAAGTCTTGAACTCACACATAGAAATCATTAAGTAGAATAATGTTTTGGCTGTTCTCTTGAAATATCTTTACAAATGAAACTATAGAAAATGCCCAAAATGTATGATACAAATATATTTTCATGTTTTAAATATATACTAAGGCAATGATTTTAGAGACTAAAATTGCCAAGATATTCATTTAATGTGGATTTTTTTCCCACTTGGTTTACGTAAATTGGAATCTAGATCTTTGGGACACCTGGGTAGCTCAGTGGGTTAAGCCTCTGCCTTTGGCTCAGGTCATGATCCCAGCGTCCTGGGATCGAGTCCACCATCGGGCTCCTTGCTCGGCAAGGAGTCTGCTTCTCTCTCTGCCTCTGCCTGCTTGTGCTCTCTCTCTCTCGCTCTCTCTCTCTCTGACAAATAAATAAATAAATAAAATCTTTAAAAAAATAATCTAGATCTTCAAAATATGATTGTATATATGCTGTTTTCACTTTTTAAATTAAAGTTTGTTTTCATTTTTGGAGATGACAAGGTCAAGACAGAGCGAGAATTGCCTCCGTTTATTTATGGACGAGATTTTAAATGTCAGCATTTTCACTACAAAGAGGATCAATATTTTCATGTTCATGGAGGAGTTGAATTTGATATCAGCACACCTTCAATTGAGAATGCTTTGGAAGATTTTAAGGTTTTAATTATTATTGTTTCTGAAACGGTTTGTCATTTCACAACTCCTTTATCTTATTCTCTATCAACAAAGAGTCTCTGTTGGTACCGGCACTAGGCCAGTCTCCAAATGATTATCTGCCTACCTCACGAATCTTTTCATATATCATGTAACATACGTGAATTTAAGTGCAAGCTATATCCGAGGTATGTTAGGTATCAGAGATGACACGATAAATAAGCGAGGTACACCTATCCTTACAGAATTTGTAGGCCTCTAATGGACCATATGTGCCCTAAAATAATCAGAGTATAGTAAAAATCCTCAACATTCACTACATATTCTTCCATTTTCCTCAAAGGTTAGTATTAGAAAAGAGATCTTCTAGAGTTTGGGAACAATAATTTAATCTAGAGTTTCATATAAAAATAACATTTGAATTATCATTGCTTTTCTACCTTCTTTACATTATCTTTTATATTTTTTTCCTCACTCCTGAAGTAGGAATTGGATACATGCAGTCATCATTAAGGTCTGGTGGGATATTATATTAAAAAAATTAACATTTACAAGTATAAAATTTTATTTAAAAGAAACCATAATTATTTAGACTTGTTTAAAGATATATTTTTAGTAACAGAACTCATATTTTAGAACAATTTAGAAAAAATACGGGATTGTGCTGCCAATGCATTTGTGGAAGATTCGGGATACAAGGAACATTACTCAATACCAGTCATGGAACTTAATGGAAAAAGGTAAGGAACTTTCGGTAATCATTCACAGTAGCCACAACTTGTTGAAAGTTAGAAGAAAACAAGGAAAGTGTCAAAATGCCAAGGCTAACTTAATACCTCAGCACAGAGATGCTAGAACAATAACTTCCATGAATGAAATCCAGACTCAACAAAATATTAAATAGTGTATTTATTACTTCATGCTCTTTGGTACGTTCTGTATAATAGCCCTTAGCGATGGGGACTGGTTCTTAAAACTATCACTGCATTTACATGGGGATGGAGGTGGGGATCAAATCCTGTGGGTCCGTGGAAGGGCAGTGGACTCAGCACAGAGAATAGGATTTATTTTTTTTTAATTTTTATTATTTTTTTATTTTTTAAGATTTTATTTATTTATTTGACAGACAGAGATCACAGGTAGGCAGAGAGGCAGGCAGAAAGAGAGGAGGAAGCAGGCTCCCTGCTGAGCAGAGAGCCCGATGCGGGGATTGATCCCAGGACCCTGGGATCATGACCTGAGCCGAAGGCAGAGGCTAAACCCACTGAGCCATGCAGGTGCCCTGAGAATAGGATTTAAACTCCTCTTCCTGTGCTGGGTCTTGTTATGCCTGTTATCTTTTTTTTTTTTTTTTTTTCAAGATTTTATTTATTTATTTGACAGAGACACAGCAAGAGGGAACACAAGCAGGGAGAGTAGGAGAGGGAGAAGCAGGCTGCCCACTGAGCAAGGAGCCTGATGCAGGGCTCAGTCCCAGGACCCCGGGGCCATGACCCGAGCCAAAGACAGACGCCTAATGACTGAGCCACCCAGGTGCGCCTATGCCTGTCATCTTATAAATTTTTTTTAAGATTTTATTTATTTATTTGACAGAGAGAGATCACAAGTAGGCAGAGAGTCAGGCAGAGAGAGAGAAGAGGAAGCAGGCTCCCTGCTGAGCAGAGAGCCCGATGCGGGGCTCCATCCCAGGACACCAAGACCATGACCTGAGCAGAAGGCAGCGGCTTAATCCACTGAGCCACCCAGGCGCCCCCTGCCTGTCATCTTTTGAAGCTAGATGTTTCTCTAAGTTTTGCTAGGGTCTTTTATGTATTATGCTCTTGGATTTTCATATCTTGGATGCTGAAGTTTGGACATATGGAAGGTAGAGCTGGGGCATTGTCATTAGGAGGTGGAGACTTGAGATTTAAAAGCATATAGGAGAGGTTTTTTCATCTTGTTTTTTAAGGCATGGAAGTGATTTAGAGAACAGGACCAATTCTAGAACTCTGGAGAACAGCGGCTTTTAAATGGGGTGGAGAGAAGCAGGGGAGAGTGCAAAGGAGACTGACAAGGAAAGATGCAGGGAGGAGAGCCAGGAAAGCATGGTAGCATGGAAGCCAAATGGGGAGAATTTTCAAAATATGTAAATAGTTGAAAGCCTCAAATTCAAGAAAAGGTCAGGTCAACTTAAGATTGAAGAGAGCACTGAGCTTAGCAATGACTTGGGAAGGAAAGTAGTTCTGGTTATAGGCAAGGTGTAGTGGGCCAAGGGGTGAAGTCGGGGAGAGTTCATGGGATGTGAAGAAGTAAAGACAACGATTATAAATTTCTGTCAGGATGCGTGGCAGTGAGGAAAGTACCAGAAACAAGGCAGAGGGAGAAGCAGGATAAACAATGAGAGGTGGATTGTCCCATTAATTCTGCCTGAATGTGCACATGGTGCTAGAGATGAAGTCAAAGACCCTGGGGCTGGTGGCCGCCATGATTTTGGAGGGAATCAAGCAATAGAGCTCACGCCTCTAGAACCGACAGTTGGTGTGCATCTCCCTGGAGGAGGAACTCTCTCGCTCAGGGACCCAGCACCTGCTGATAGGTTCCATGTACAACCCTTGCGAAGCTGGACAGTATCCCGGAAGCCCCTCTGAATAACACTTGACTCCCTCGGGTGTAGTGTCTGGCTGGACGCTAAGATCCTGGGAGCGCAGGGCATCAGGGGAGATGAAAGCTGTGCTTGGTAGACGTGGTTGTAGGTGAGGGAGCCTGGTCGGCATAAGCACACTGACTGCCGCTGAACTGGAGGGGACCAGTCTCACCACTGTTGCAATGGGATGCGTGGCGGAATGAGCTCTAGCTTCTGACTAATGCAAGCATCTGGTCACCAGGGTTGGTGACCTGCAGTTAGCTGGATTTGAATTTGCAGACTTTCAAAACCAGCAGGAGCGTCTTTCTCAGACCCAGGCAAGTGGAGTAATAGTATTTTCCTGGTACCCATACCAGTTACTAGAGAACTTTCAGTTTCAGAATCGCCTCCCCCACATAGTTTTTCCTAGAGATCCCAGATACTCATTCAGCTCTCAGGTGCTGTGAGATCCCCTCATTCCCGTCTGAGCTCTCTGTAGTGATCGGCTGCTGGGATCCTGACGCTCAGCAGCCCACGAAGGCAACCTAGCCCTGCTGCTATTGCATGAGCGACACTGTTGCTCCTGGTTGTGGGTCCGTGTCACCTCTGGGGCCGGCTGCTGCTCATGTGTGCTGAAAAGCGGCGTCCGCTGTGAGACATGTTGAGGCCCATCTACTGAAGTAAGGAGAATTTCTCTACTGATTTTCTTGGTTTCAAGGAAGTGCTGCCTTGAGCCCCTAATAATTTGGTGCAAAAACATCTTTTTTGGTCATTTTGCTTGCAGCCGTTCTTTTCCGTGATGTAGGGATCATTCTGTGTTGGTGCTGGACCAGAGAATAATCTGAATGAATGATTGAAAACATGCCATCTTATCTCCCCTCTCTGCTTTTAAGGGCCTTGTTACTGGACTGAACTCATGTGGTTTGATATTCTCTTTCCTCGGAGTGGTTGATCTCCTAGGACACCCCAGGTCCCTTAAGAAAATAGGATCAGTTCCACTGGCCTTCCAGGCATGCCTGGAAACATTTAAGTCCTAGACTGTTTTGGTTCAGGTGGGGTTCTCCTGCCATCCCAGAATCAAAACGTAGGGACCACAGTCAGATACTCAGGACTTGGCCACCCATAAAAGTACAAGAATTCATGAATTATTAAGGTGACGATGATCAGAGCAAAAAGATTAATTTATACCCGTACTAAAACATCCTATTTTATCGGTATGGAGAGCAGACCAGCATTGTGACACTGTTGTGGGTATTAGGAAGCAGGTCAGAAATCAATTGAACATGGCAGTGGTGTATCAGGGAAATGTGGTGCCGGAAACTCCTCAGAAGCTGGGTGCCGGTTTCCAGGGAAGAGTATGAATGCGGCCATTGTAAGGGTGCGGCGCCCTCATAGCCCTGACGGCACAGAAGGTTTGAGTAAGAGCAGTGTATGTCACTCTGCAGTACCTGGACGAGGGCTCCCTTGTGGCGCTGGCTTTGTGGGCGCTCTGTGCTTCCAAGGTCATCTTTTTTGGGGCCAGTGCAGGCTGTGGATCCACCCTTGGGTGGGGAGGGTGGGTCACGAAATTCTGTGGTAGAGACCATCTCAGGGTATAGCCACCTTCACCACCTCTTTCTTCTCCAGTTTCTAGGGTAGGATAGGCCCCTGCTGATTCTCCATGCTTGATTTGTATTGGATAAGTAAATTGAATTTCTAGAAGAAATCAACCCACATTCCCCTGGTTGTTAAATTTATAAGTCTGTTGCATTGCTTCAGCAGTGATCAAAGAGTACAGCACTGAGTACCGGGGCCCCAGGGGTAATCAGCAACTCCTGACCCCATAACAGTTTACCACAGCTAGAGCCGGCTCTGGAGAATCATAGAAAGAAGAAGTTGTAGGCACTGGGACTCTATGGTGTGACACTGGGCCACTCAGAGACCACAAAGGATATCTTCAGTGTGATCCCCTATGACTACATCTATGGAAGCAGTCATGTGGGACCTGGCGTATCTCTTTGTGGTGTGTACTCTTAGCTACGTATATGACGCCGAAGGAAGGTGAGCTATTTTCTTCTAGAAATTTAGTTTAGTCATCCACTGTAAATCAAGCATCCAGGTGTGACTCATACAGCTCCTTAAGGCTCTAGAAGCTATTGCCACGTGATGTGAAAGCCTTCAGATCCGGGTAAGACTCAGAGCACCTTTCCCGATTCCGGAGGCGGGAGTCTAGGGAGTCAGGCCAGCCCTCCGTCATGAAGGCAGCACCTCATCAAGTCAGGGCCCACGGGCAAGGTGACAGGTCCCACCCCCTGGACCAGTACTGTATTTGCAGGATGTGGGTGAGGACAGCCTTAGTTTGTATTTGTGGCCTCGTGTCCTCGTCGGAGGAGAGCATGGTGGGTGGGAAGAATGGCAACCTCAAATAAATGACTAGGTCCTCAAATATGCCTCCAAGCCTGCAGAAGTCTGCTGTGTTCAGAAAGCTGGGATGGAAGTGAAGGTCAAGGAAGAGAGGATATTAGCCTCCGGCTAGTTGATAACATACTATTTCCCTAAGACCTTCGTTTTCAATCAAGTACAATTTAAACTACAGTTTTAGGGGCGCCTGGGTGGCTCAGTGGGTTAAGCTGCTGCCTTCGGCTCAGGTCATGATCTCAGGGTCCTGGGATTGAGCCCCACATGGGGCTCTCTGCTCAGCAGGGAGCCTGCTTCCCCCTCTCTCTATGCCTGCCTCTCTGCCTACTTGTGATCTCTCTTTCTGTGTCAAACAAATAAATAAAATCTTAAAAAAATAAAAAATAAAATAAACTACAGTTTTATATTTAATTATTACAGAAAAAATATGGTTTAGTCAGCATAGAAAAAAAGTGGCACATTACTTCAAAGTCAGAAAGATTTATCTTTTTTCTTTATGTTTTTATAGCTACTATGTGATCTGTTTTGAACTTGAAGCTTTCTATCATCAACTATACAAGACAAAATGGTGGGGAGCCATAAATGAAGTCGTGAACAGTCTGAAACCAAAAAGGCTTCCACTAACAGATGCTCAATTACATGAACAATTTAAGAAAAAATTTGGTTTCAAAAAAGCTATGAAATGCAAGGTGTTTCAGTAATTATGACATAATTTAGTGTACATAATACGTTATAGATAAGTGTATGTCTCAGATTTCTATCTTAGGGATAAATATTAGGTTAAATAAAATTTTCAATGTGAAATAAAAACTCCACATTTCAGCGGCTTAGAAGCTATATAATTTTGGATTATAAATCTCTGGCAGGGTTACAAAGTAATCTGTTAATGAACCGCATTGTGGCCAATCTTCATAAAGCCTCGTGCGCACTGACTGCTGCTTTCGTGTGCCAGGCACTTCCTAAATCCTTTTAACAAACTTTCTCAAGGTGCTAGGACTATTGTTATCATTCCTGTTTTGCATGTGAGAAATTTGACACGCAGCAAGTTAAGGGTCTTTCCCAAATCACACTAAACGGCAGAGTCAGGCTTCAGTCCTGGGACCCAAACTTGAGGAACAAACATGTCATCCTGAATCAGATTTCTGTACCTGTTTCAACAGGCCTTGAAGGACGGCTTCTGGAACTAGAAGTGGTGAGCTCACCCACTTTAATGGATACACTAGCCTTTATTTACCACGTATTTGTCTCAATGTCCATAAATTTAAAATTTTAATGAGCTCTTTTTTTAAAATTTTTATTTTTTTCATTTCTTTTCAGTGTTCCAGAATTCATTGTTTATGCACCACACCCAGTGCTCCATGCAATCCGTGCCCTCCTTAGTACCCACCACCAGGCTCACCCAACCCTCCACCCCCCACCCCTCCAAAATCCTCTGTTTCTCAGAGTCCACAGTCTTTCGTGGTTGTTTCCCTCTCCAGTTTCCCCCAACTCCCTTCTCCTCTCCATCTCCCCATGTCCTCCATGTTATTCCTTATGCTCCACAAGTAAGTGAAACCATATGATAATTGATTCTCTCTGCTTGACTTATTTCACTCAGCATAATCTCTTCCAGTCTCGTCCATGTTGCTACAAAAGTTGGGTATTCATCTTTCTGATGGAGGCATAATACTCCATAGTGTATATGGACCACATCTTCCTTATCCATTCGTCCGTTGAAGGGCATCTTGGTTCTTTCCACAGTTTAGCGACCATGGCCATTGCTGCTATGAACACTGGGGTACAGGTGGCCCTTCTTTTCACTACATCTCTATCTTTGGGGGAAATGCCCAGTAGTGCAATGGCAGGGTCATAGGGAAGCTCTATTTTTAATTTCTTAAAGAATCTGCACACTGTTTCCCAAAGTGGCTGCACCAACTTGCATTCCCACCAACAGTGTGAGAGGGTTCCTCTTTCTCCACATCCTCTCCAACACACATTGCTTCCTGTCTTGCTAATTTTGACCATTCTAACTGGAGTAACGTGGTATCTCAATGTGGTTTTGATTTGAATATTAATTTTAAAATATTAAGTAGTCAATATGTCTCAAAGATGAGTGTCCTGTTTTTACATCTCTATTTTGAGACCTAGAGCAAAGAAGACAAATTGTATTTCTGTAGCTATATGTTTCTAGTTTCTAGGTTTCTAAATTAGATTATTATTAAATCAAAAAAGGAACCCAGTGATCTCCCTTTGTTTAAGTATTTCAGAAAGAAAATTGTCTATCCCGTTTTAATTGTCTTCAAAGAAAGTTCTACAACTTCTCCCTAAAAAGTAGTGGAGGAAAAAAAAAACTTCCCAAAAATATTTTTTAAATTTCTCAGTGTTTCTTTATAGTTCTAATAATTTTAATCATTTTCCAGTGAGACACTTTCCACATGGATCTTGTGAAAATTCCACCCTAACTGGGTACCAATCCTGTGATATTAATGTATATTTATTATGTTATATATTAACATTGTATTTATTGTAAGTATGTTAGTATGTTTATTGTTCTTTTTTTTCCTTAAGCTAAACTTAAGGTATATTTTGAAAAAATTTACTCTGACCCTCTTAATAATTTTAGAGCATCCCATTTGGGATGAAGTCTGCTGTTGAAAGAGGATTGTCTGCTGTTTTCCATACATTTAGCCGTAAAACCTCAAGCTTGACCATCAACGTTTCAGACGAATCAGGTTATGCCATTTTCCATCACGCCGCCCTGCACAACAGAGTGGCTATCGTATGTCAGCTGCACAATGCGAACTTCAACGTCAACCAGAGACGCTTTATTACGTTTAGTCAAGGTGCCATGAAGTTTCTACATTTGAAACTGGTTTTCTTTTACTTACTGCCCCGATTCCGAATGAAGAATGCATGTTGACGTTGGCGCAAGATTAAAATTTGGCATTGACACCCAGAGCAAAGCTGAGGTTTTGTTTCCCTTATCAGAAGGGGTCCTTTTAGTTTTCTAAGTGTATCCCTTATTGCTGTCCTGTATAGTATCATTTATTGGTTTATTGTAACTCCCTCACTTGACCATAAGCTCCTCACAGGCAGTGATTTGGTTTGCTTCGTTTGCCATGTTATTCTAGTGCCCAGAAGAAAGCCTCAGGAAGTGGATGTTGGGTGAGTGTCTGGTTGGACGGATGCGGGGTAGCACCTGGTAATCACTGGGATGATTAATATACAGTGATGTACTGTAGCAATTCAGAGAAAAGGTAGATAAATGGAGAACCCAGCAGGACATCCATTTCTTATCCTCAAGTTCTCAACCAGGGAATAGTTTCTTCATGATACATAAAAAATTATAATGAATAACAAAAAATTCATCCATAATAATAATTTTTTAGATTAATGGGCCCTTTAAGGCTAACTTAGTTTTGACTTTAAAAAGCCATTTTTCCTGAGTATTAGATATGCATACCTATATATGCATTCACTGGAATAAATTTAACCAGTATAAAAATGATAATGTTGAAAATGAAAGCAGCAGTCCTCCATAACTGAAGAGGGCATTAGAGATAAAACATCAGGAGCAGCTGATACCACAATATTGGCAGTAAGAAGCGACGATTTTATATTTTAACCAGCTATCTTAAAAAGTTTTGTTGAATTTTCGCGCACCAAAATAAAATGTTCTGCTTTAATCCTGCAGACTACTAATTAATTCTGTAATTAAAATGTTTTGAAATTAGGATACTTCTATAGATTAAAATAGAGCAGAAATTCAGTTAAATTTAAATGCCGTGAGTACTCTGTTCTTTAAAGATGTGTTATATTTTAAGCCTTTTTTGGTGTGAAAAAAATCTTTTGTAAATTGAAGTCTCTCTTTTGTGTTGTGACTACTTGAATTTCCAGTTGCTAAGAATTGGATAGATTTTGAAGTATGGAAAGTGTGTACCTCTACCTGCAATGTCTGCACGTTATGACTTTGCCACACAGAACAGCCCCAAGTGTCATTTTGACCAGACACTTGAGAGGCAGCGCCCCAGGTCTGCTCTGCCATGATGTCGGCGGCGGCCACCATGCCCAGATGGCTTGACCAAAGCTTAAACTCAGTCCTGTTTGACGTAATCCTGCCTTTGGGGTCCAAACACGGCCATTTTGTTCTTATTCATATGAGTTTATTTTGACTAATTTAGGCAACTGCTGCATATTAATAATCATACTTCTGTGTGTATTCCCCTTTAAAACAGAGTCATCAAAAATGGACATGAAAAAAGAAAGAAATGGTAAGACATAAATGAAATATTTGGTGTGTTTGGAAAAGTTATTGCATGTATTAAAACTCTCCTTATAGAATATAATCTCCAAAATGTTCTGTCACATGAGCATGTCACATGATGATGTTTTGTCTCTGTTTTGAAGTATGCACTGTATTTTCTAGCCGTGGCCATTTATTCACGTTCCTCTTAAGTCTTGGGGATTTTTTCTTTTTTCTTTTTTTTCCGACTGTGGAATTTGCAGTTACCTCCCCTTATTTGTATAAAATCAGACTCCTTGAACACGGAGAATCAGAAAGAATTTTAAAGGCCGTGTCTTCTGTATTTGTATCTGTAAGACGGTGCCTTCGTACTCTGCGGAGAGTCATTCAGGGATGGTCCGTTGTTTCGGGCTCTCGTTGTCTTTGACGGGCCTGTGACAGCCACCTGCAGCTTGGCTTGTTGCCAGAACACGGGGACCGGACAGGAAAGGGCTGTGTCGTAGCGTGATTTAGCCGTTCTTCCAGCTCAGGAGTTTAACATCTGTTTTTAATTCCAGTATAACTCAGTACAGTTTACATTAGCGTCAGTGTGTGACGCGTGATTCAGCAATCTGTCCAGCACTCGGCGCACAGTCCCCTGGGCCTGCTTCACCCTCCCCCGCCCACCCCCCCTCTGGTAACCACCAGTTTGTCCTGAATGTTTGAGTCTGTTTTTTGTCTCTTTTTTATTTGTTTGTTTGTTTTGCTTCTTAAATTCCACATCGAGTGCAGTATTTGTGTTTCTCTGGTCTACTTATGTCACTTAGCATTACCTCTGGATCCAGCCATGTTGGAGCAAATGTTAAGATGTCATTCTTTTATGGCTGAGTAATATTCCACTATACACACACACCACACATTTTTTACCCATTCACCTATTGATGGACACTTGGGCTGCTTCCATATTTTGGCTATTGTAAATAATGCTGCCTGAACATAGAGGTTCATGTATCCTTTTGAATTATTGTTTTTTAGTTCTTTGGGCAAACACCCAGTAGGGTGATAACTGTATCATATGGTAATTCTATTTTTAATTTTTTGAGGATTGTTTCCACACTGTTTTCCACAGTGGCTGTACCAGTCTGCATTCCCACCCACAGTGCATGAGGGCTCCTTTTTCTCCACCTCCTCACCAACGTTCATTGTTTCTAGTGTTTTTTACTTAAGCCATTCTGACAGGTGTGAGGTGGTCTCTCATTGTGGTTTTGATCCGCACGTCCCTGATGCTGAGTGACATTGAGCATCTTTTCATGTGTCTGTTGGCCGTCTGGATGTCTTCTTTAGAGAAATGCTATTCACGTCTTCTGTCCATTTTAAAATTGGACTGTTTGTTGCCTGAGTGTAGAGTTTTATAAGTTCTTTATGTATTTTGGATACCAACCCCTTATCAGATGTATTACTTACAAATATCTTCTCTTGTTCAGTAGGTTGCCTTTTGGTTTTATTGATTGTTTCCTTCACTGCGCAGAAGCTCGCTATCTTGATGTAGTCCCAATAGTTTGTTGTTGCTTTTGTTTCTTTTGCCTCAGGAGATATATCTAGAAACCTGCTGTTATGGCTGATGTCAGAGAAATTACTGCCCGTTCTCTCTTCTATGATTTTTATGGTCTCAGGTCTCACATTTATGTCCTTAATCCATTTTGAGTTTATTTTGGTGTGTGGTGTAAGAGAATGGTCCAGTTTCATTCTTCTGCATGTGGCTGTCCAATCTTCCCGATACCATTTGTTCAAGAGACTGTCACATTGCATCTTCTTGCCAAGGAGAGTTTACTTTTATTTTTTTAAAGATTTTATTTATTTATTTGACAGAGAGAGACACAGTGAGAGAGGGAACACAAACAGCAGGGAGTGGGAAAGGGAGAAGCAGGCTTTCCACTGAGCAGGGAGCTGGATGTGGGGCTCGATCCCAGGACCCTGGGGTCATGACCTGAGTCAAAGGCAGAAGCTTAACAGCTGAGCCAACCAGGTGCCCCAGAGAGTTTATTTTTAAAGAAACCATTTACAAAGACCTGAATCTATTAGGGGGAAGGCAGTAGTTAATCAAACCAGCCATCTTCTGTCAGTGGAGGAATGCAGCTAGCCTGAGATGATCTTAGACACAGTAAGTGCGCTGACCTCATTCTCCTCCCTTCTCCAGTCTCCTGTCAGCAGTCCCCATTGGCAGACACTGACAGAAAGCCAAAAGGACAGGGATTGCAAATTGTGCAGCGTGGGTAGTAAGGGGAGGTGGGGCAGGAGGGGGCTGCAAGGAGCTTCTCTGACCCACCCATTTTTGCTTTCTTTGTTCATTTCCTAAGTATCATTTATCCCTGCCTTCTATGATATTGTCCCTCTAATGTGTCTCCCTCACTTTGATAAGCTCCATAAGGGCAAGGATTTGGTTCACTTTGCCATGATACTCCGGTGGCCAGAAGAAAGCCTGGCCCTAGTAAGTGATTTCGAAATAGTCGTTAAGTGAACGCACGAACGGATGGGCGCGGGGCGGGCATTTGACGAGCACCGGCGGGTTCATAGAGTCCCATGATAGAGATATTCAGAAAAAAGGCGTAAATATGCCTTTCAGGTGCCAGGAGAGCATCTATTCTCCAGACCAGGATTCCCAACCAGGGAACGGTTTCTTCAAATACATCAGTCCCTCCAGAACTTCCCTAATTCTGGCGTGTGGCAGGTCCGTGTTTTCTGTTGACCTTGAGCTCTGGGTAGTTCCTTGCTGTGCAGGCTTTCCTGTGCACTATAGGATGTTTAGTATGAATCACTGAACTCTTCCTCTGAAACCAATAATGTGCTGTTAATTAATTGAATTTAAATTTTAAAATGTTAGGGGAAAAAAAGAATGTTTAGTATTACTCCTGGCTTCTAACCAGTAAATGCCAGTAGCAATCCCCACCCTAGCAGTGACAAACGAAAATGTCGTCAGACATTCAGATGTTGGGGGAGAGCACTTTACCCCAGGAGGCTGGGATAAACCTTAAGTACAGGGGAATCATCCAGGGACCTTGCTGAAATGCAGATTCTGATTCAGAGGGCCTGGGTGGGTGCCAAGATTCAGCATTTCTAGGAAGCACACTTTAGAGTCATGAAAGGGAGTAGAAGAATGGTACTTCTGCCCTCAGGGTGGGCTGGAAAAAATCTTTTTTTTTTTTTTTTCCTTTGGAGGAAGGTGGAAAAGAGGGAGAAGGCAGGTAGGGAGGCTTGTGTGTTTTTTCTTAAAAAACCTCTTCAGGTTATTGTGATATGTTGCTGCAGCCGAGAGCAGCTAACAGCCTTTTGCTGACTGAAATGAGCAGCCATGTTCTCTAGTCCCATGATTAGGTCTCAGTCTTGGGGAGCCTGTGCTCCTGGACTGTGAACTTTACCTGTCAGTCCCCGCCCACACCTTAGGTGTGTCAGGGTGGCTGGAGAGGGGCTACGGTTGGGTATTTTCCTTCCCCGGGGCAGGTTAGGCTCTGATAAAACCCAGCAGGTTTGGCTCTGAAAACATCGTTTCTCCTGAGGGCAAGCCTTGTTAAGAGAAATGGAATGGTCTGGCATATCTCCAAATGGTCCCTTTTCCCCTGATCCTCTCCTCCCCACTCCTCCACCCCAAGCACAAGGGGATCTTTCTCTGATACCCACCATGAGGACTTGGTCAAACTCCTGGAGTTAAAACTCAGTGAAGCATGGGGACCCCCTGAGATGGGGTCGCCCTGGAGTTTTTAACTCCCCAACTTACCACAATGAGTCTGCAGCGCGTTGTCAATTACAGTTCAGATTTTCGTTCTGTTACCAAAACCCGGTTCCGCCGCACGCTGCTCAAAAAGCCAATACCCCAGAGATGAGCTTTGACTGGAAAGGAATATATGAGCTTTACTCAGGAGGCTGGCCACCTGGAGAGAAGGCAGACTCTTGTCCAAAGGCCAACTCCAAGGTTTTTCTTGGCCCAAGAAGGATTTTGAGGGAGTTTCAGGCCGTTAACCGCCAATCGGCTGCAGCGGTCTGTCGCATTTCTTTAACTACAGGCAGACTCAGTGGTGTTTTAGACGTTATCATAGTGCAAGACAGTTGTGCACAGGGGTCTGGTTCCTTAGTGCCAAGGGGTTGTGCAAGAGGGTCCGGTCTCTGTTTTGTGTTGTGTAAAAGGCTTCTGTTCTTTCTGGGAAAGAACCTGTGATCCACAGGTAGACAAAGAAAGGCTCATCGATCAAACGACGAGGGGTGATTGCTAAAACTTAAAGACTGCCAGGATGCTGGAGGGGCCGAGGCGGCTGTATTGCTCTAGCCTGGGTGCGGTGGAGGTCTGCTTTCAGCCCGTTATGCTTGTCCGTATCAGCCTCTCTATACCCCATCTCTGGGGGCAGCATTTGTGCCAAGATCTCACTTTTCCGTCCTATCTAAGAAGAGTTTTTGATCTCTGAGTTTGTTTGGTTTTTGACTTGCTTAGGACGGAGTGGTGATGAAAGTGCCTCCCATGCCTGGCCAGCCTGGAAGACCAAGCCGTGATTTTAGATCAATAAGTCAGGTCAGATATTACAGAGGATCGGAGGCTACGACATAAACTTTGACGAGTAAGGCAGACTGGAGGCCATTGGAAGTGTCTGAGTTGGGAGAAAACAGTGCTTCCCTGAGGAATTACCACTCGGACTGAGAAGTAAGAGTTCGCTGGACCTGGTCAGGAAAGCATTGTTTGGGAGAAGGAAGCTGTCAGACAGCCGGACTAGACCAAATCATCGAAACCAGGGAGCCTTGAAATGGAAGAGGCACTGTACGTCAGCGCGCTGGGGCCACAGGCGCCAGGAGCACCTTCCTGGGCCAGCTGGGCCACGGGGCTGGTTACCCTGGGATTGAGGAGCTTCGAGAAGGCCCAGATGAAGGGAGCAAGTTGTGTATGTCCTGGGTGTTTTGGCAGGAGGGGGGCAGCTCGCAGTTCAGGTTGAACTGGAGCCAGTGGATCCTTTTCCTCTACGGTGATCGGGTGGCCTGGAGAAGCCCCTGAAAAGAAGATCAGATTTCTATTTTGAAATAAAGGATTGGTGAAAGGCAAGAACGACGTGGGTAGGGTGTAGGCGTGCAGGGTGGGGAGGCGGTGGCGGTAAACATGGCTGTAGAGAGACTTAGCCTTGGTGACGGACTGGTCGTGGAGATGAGATGAGAGGGAGATGCCAAGGAGTCTTCCAGAACAGGCTGGATGGTGATTCCTTCACTGATTTAGGCAGCAGTGGAAGGATCAGGTGTGGAGGGAAAAACAGTTTGACTCAGAACATGTTAAGTTTGAGGTGGAGACACCAGCGAGATGCTGGAGATAAAGACGTAGAGCCTGGTGGAAAACAAAACAAAACAAAACAAAACAACAACAACAAAAAAACAGATCTAGGGACATAATCCTAGGAATCATCAACTTTTAGGTGGTAAATGAAGTCACTGCAAAGCTAAAAAGGCCCAAAATGGAGCCTGAAGGCTCACGGAGGCGTCGGAACAATGAGGACATCCAGAAGGAGACTGTGGAGCAGTAACCAGAGGGAGAGAAATGGAGGGTTATGATGTCACAAAAGCCAAGGAGAAAAAAGCTATTTTAGAGAGGAAGAACCTTACTGTTGAGAAGTAAGATAAGAACTGAAAACCACCCACTGGATTTTGTGACATAGAGGGCTTTTGTCAGCCTATTTTTCCTTCAATTTCAAAGGATCTTACTTCCTACTACAAAGCAGTTAAATGAAATGAAAAATAATTTAAACAAGAAACAACTTATTTGGTCACGACTATTTTATACATTGGCTTAATTTTTCAAACAAGAAACAACTTATTTGATCACAAGGCTATTGTAAACATTGACTTAATTTTTCGAATATTTAATATTTTCAATGTTATTCTTAATTTATGAAGAAGGATTGATTTTTAGTGATCAGACATTCTGAGTGAAAGAAATATAGAATTGCCTAAATTAATCCTTTTAGTGCTTCTCTTGGAGCTTTTATATCACAGTACTAAGTTCTGTGGATGGCTATCAAAAAGACATATTTTAGTTAATTAATTAAATTATTTATTTTTAAAGATTCTATTTATTTATTTGAGAGGGAGAGAGAACAAGGGCAGGAGAGGGAGAAGCAGACTCCCTGCTGAGCAAGGAGCCTGATGCTAAGATCATGACCTGAGTTGAAGGCAGAAGCTTAACCCACTGAGCCACCCAAGGCCCCGCAAAGGACGTATTTTTTTGGATAGACATGTTAGAAATTGATCACTTAAGTAACTGTCCATCCATTTTAGGTCCAACACCTCTACACCTGGCAGCGCAGGCTTGCTCATTGGAGACAACCATCTGTCTGCTCTGTTTCAAAGCTGATTATACGCTTTCTGAGAAAAGAGGCTGGATGCCCATTCACTTTGCTGCTTTCTATGACAATATTGGCGTCCTCACTGCCCTTTATAGGAAGGATCCTAGTTTGCTGGAGGCAGAGGCAACAGCTGAGTAAGTTATTAAGCATTTGTAAAAATATAAATTTCTGCTTTTTTGACTTGCCCCAAACACTAACAGTAAAGGAATGGTTGGTATCATTGACGTGAAAGGTATAAGGCTTACTCTGTTCTGGTCACTATCTTCTTCGTCTACCACTTACCTTTAGAGTGTATAAAGGCAGAACTTCTCCTGGCCCACCGCATGCCATCTCAGTGGTGTGGCTCTACAGACTAGTTCATCAAGTTCACCACTTAGCACTCTGGAAGAAGCCCGAGACGGGGGGCGGGGGGAATGTGCTCTACCTTGGAGCCCAACCAACCAGGGGGCGGCTCAGTGCTCTAGACCAGTGTGGAGAGGCCTCAGGTCACAGGAGGAACATCTAGTGGTATTCGGAAAAAAAACACATTAGAAAGAAAATAACTTTGGGGGCACCTGCCTGGCTCAGTTGGCAGAACGTGCTGCTCTGGATCTTGGGTGTAAGTCTGAGCTCCAGGTCGGGTGTACAGATTCCTCAAAAATAAAAGCTTCTAAAAACAAGTTGTTTTTTTTTTTTTTAAAGAAGAAAGTAACTTTGAAATAGGGAAACATCCCAAACCCAGTTTCACAGGTTAGCTTCTATTTCACAATTCCATTTCATAATTTCGCAGAGGACCAACATTTAGGATGGGGGTATAGCTTCTCCTGAAGGTACATTCTTGGTGGTAATCGAAAGACAGGTTCTCATTTGGAATCTGAACATGATTTAGGCATTGTTTCATTAGATATTTCTGGGTCTTCATAGAACCTGACCATTATTATTCAGTGAAGAAATTAACTCTCCCTCTAGGTTGGGGCAGAGATGTGTATAGAGAAAGCTTTCAGGACACTAGGTCTCTTGCTAATAGATTCTCTAACTAACAGATTCTGAAAAGAGCCACGGAATGTAGAGACCCCAGTCGGCTCTGACTCTGTCATATTGTGACAATGTGTCTTTGAGCAGAAGAGGGTTTGGGAATAAAGACTGGTGGATTGCAAAAAACAGTTGCATATCAGAGGTAGAAGTAAGACGCTATCTGTGAACATAAGGAAAAGGAAAGGCTTCATAGAGAGGACAGTTCCCGAGGTTGGGATCTCTGCGGAGCTGATGTAGAAGTGCACCGGCGCGGGGGCGTGTGACTGCGGAACACACATGAAGGCAGGACGAAGTTCGAGAGACCAGCGCACAGACGGTCATTAGCATGACCTTCAAGTCAAGTTGGTGAGGCAGTTCATGAGCTAATATCCTGGAGAAGGACCCTGCAGGGCAGGGGGAAGGGCGATATGGAACTGAAAAGAAAAATATAATTTATTTGATAGTATATTTTTTCATATGAGGAAAATCAGAGTGATGCTGTTAAAATAGAAGTAGTCTTTATTCCTACTACAGAGTAGGATAAAGAAAGCAAGAGAACAGTCTTGTTAAGTACAAAAGAGAGAAAGTGAAGAGATACATGTGTACTCATAAAAGACAAGAGTTTCCCCAAGGCCCAGGAAAAAGGGAAGAGAGAGGGGGGGGGGAGCTTGGGGCTAGCTGGACAGAGGTGAAAGTTCGAAGACAGAAAGCAAGATAAGGGGGGCTTCATGAAGAGAGGAAAGCCAGGGTATAAGGGTAAAATAATAACATTTGAGTCATGTGACACGGTGACAAGAGAATGAGAGGGGAACACATTCACCCTGACACTAACACTGTGAGCTGAATGTTGTTCCCCTCATTCTCGACAGAGGAAAATGTAACCTAGTTCGCTTCAGATCCCATTGTAGTCAGCAGATCTGATAGTTCAGATAAGGTTCAAGTTGCGGTGACAAAAGTCTGCCAAAACATTGTAGTTCAGACAAGGTGACCACGTACGTTGCTTCTTGCCATGTGGTTTCCGTGTACTCATACAAGACGGACTCCTGCTTTCATTGATATGCCTATGTTTCAGCCATGAAGGGAAAAGAAATGAAAAGTGACAGCACATTCATTTCTCCTTAGGGAGTTGCCCCTGTAACTTCTACAACGTCACACTGGCCAAACGTGGGCATGTGTCACAGCTCTCCATAAAGGAAGCTGGCAAATGTAACATCGGGCTGGGTAGCCTTGTGCCCAACCCAAAGATCTTCACTATCTAAAAAGCAGATAGTGGGACTTTGAGAAACTCTGTTGGTTTCTGCCGCAAGAAGGAAGCTGGGATTTGAGAACCGGACAAAATGGGTTGGAGCATTACCTGAGCCTTAGTTTCCTCATTTGTAAAATGTGCTGATAATACTTGCGCTTACTTACTGTGATATGTCCTGATTTTTAGGAATCAGTGTACTCCCCTGCTACTCGCTGCCACCTCGGGAGCCCTGGACACTATTCAGTACCTATTTTCTCTTGGTGCTAACTGGAGAAAAACAGACATCAAAGGAAATAATATAATTCATTTATCAGTGCTAACTTTTCACACAGAGGTTCTCAAACATATAATAGAGTTAAATATTCCTGAACTCCCAGTTTGGAAAACTCTGGTAGGTGAGTATACAACACATAATTTCTTTATAAATAAATGTTTTGATTATCACTCAGCTTAGTCATTGATGCTTACTCTGAAATAGAGCAAATAAAATAATACATGCATCATATTTTAAACAGTTAAAAATCATAAAATAAACATTTTTTAGTTACAACCAGAAATAAAAATAATACTGAGCTTTATTTTGTGTGTATACAAGTAGTTTTATTTCCAAAATCAAAGAGTCATGACCCAGACCGTATCTTATACAATTATATTGATTTTTATTTTCCAACGTTCTCCAAAGTCCATTTATCTTGTTCTCCATCAAAAAAGTAAATTAAAAAACAACCACCAAACAAGGAAAGGAGAAGGAAATTAAAGTTCAAGTGAAAAAGATTCCCTCCAGTTTATTCCTTCTTAATTTAAAAGACAGATTCAGCAACATTTTTCCTCATATATTGATAAATGTGTAAAAAATTTTGCTGGAGATTTTTTTCCAAATCTGGGTTCAGTGTAGCCAGAAATATTATAAAGGTAAGGGCTACTAGGGCAATTGAATGCACATGTCTAATCTGACTCTCTCCTGAGACCCCACTAAGTCACACGAGCTCACAGAAGAACGTCGGCATCAGCAGGAGACACACACTCCGGAGGCGGCGGGGAAGGATGCCGCAGCCACAGAATATTGGGAACAGCGAGACGAGGACTTAGCAGGCTGGAGAAGTCATTCCAAGCTAACGTGGGGAAGCTGAGGACTTCTCAGCCCTCCACCGTGAATCTCGGGGGCTCTAGGACGCACAGTGCCCATCGGGAATGTTCTCTGCTGAGGCCAGAAGAGACCTAGAGATACTACGGTGGGGACTCTCAACAAACAGGAAATTGGGAGTCTGACCCAAGAGAAAAGCAAGGGGATTCAAAGACGATAGCAAAGTGAGGTCCCAGAATGGACACAGTACTCAGGCCAAAGGGAAAATGTGGGAGGCATTCCCAAAAGGTACAAAGAACCCTGAGGAGATGAAATAAAATAAGGAAATTATTACCTCCAGGAAAGATAAAAGAAAGGAGCCAAAACTGTAGTACATTACAATGCTCACCTGTGAATAATATCATACAGGCGTGATAATGTAAGTGGAATATTAATTTAACTGAATACTATAAACATGGGGAAGGGGAGACAGGAAGTGGCCCTGCAGTGTTGAAAGAGCTTCTCATTCACCATAATATGAAGTCGACCGAGGATGTCTCAGATGGATGTGGCGCCGGGACACCCGGGTGGCTCAGTCGGTTAAGTGTCTGCCTTTGGCTCAGGTCATGATCCCAGGGTCCTGGGATCCAGTCCTGCACCGGGCTCCCTGCTCAGTGGGGAGCCTGCTTCCCCCTCTGCCTGCCGCTCCTCCTGCTTATTCTCTCTCTCTCACACACAAAGAAAGAAAGAAAATCTTTTTAAAAAATTAAGATAAAATTGATACAGGGAAAATAAATGTATTTAGAAATAGGAAGATATGTAAGTCACAGAAGGTATAGAGGAGTCCAAAGTGGTTAAATCTGGAGAGATGAACTCAGAAAAATGGAGAGGGTGAGTCAGGGAACCACTATATTTTGTTATAGACCTTTCAGTAATATTGAACTCTGAATCATGAGCATGTATTACTTCACTAAAATAAAACTAAAGCAAGAATGAAGCCAGTTGGGGAGTGTATATTGATGGCTTTCCCAACAACTGATGTTAGGATACGATAAGATCTATTTCAGATTTTCAACTCCATTCCACTGACTCAAGAAGTCTGAAAAATTAGTTTCAAAAGGACTCAGTACCTGATTTTGGAATTTACTGGGTACTGGGAACACATTCCAATTGCATCAGCCGTGAGATACTGGAGAGTTTCCAATGCTTATTTGCATGCATATGTGTCATTATATCCCAGGCTTCTTAGGAGGAACTCAGAAGACCATCCTGTTACTTTTAAGAGAATAACTCATTTGAAATACCTCAATAGTTGGAGGAACCAGCCCCTGACAGGAAGAGCCTAATGGCACAAAAAATTCCCGACAGCCACTCCTTCCTGCAGTCATTGTTGGGAAGTGCTGATACTGACCTGAACACAACAATGACCAGAGAGCATGCGGTCATCACCTCTTTGAGACCTGGAGTAGGTCTCCTTGCTCACACGATGAGGAAAGGAAGCATTAGTCACAGTTTATTGGACGTCTCCAGGGTTAGCTCCTGCAGAGCAGCTGAATGTTAAGAGATCCGAATTTTGAGTGATCTAGCAAAGGCAGGATTAGACCCAGATTTGCTATTACAAGGGGTTGGGAAAAGAGAGACCAGGAAAGGAACTTCCATCAGGTTTTTTTTTCTTGTACCGTAGATGATGTTTAGAAGCATATATATTTATTTGCATTTTCTCCTGTCTAGAGTATAAGTTATTTAAGATTTTTTGAAATGTCTTCTTCATCCTCAGGAGATGTATAAAACTTCATATGTGATCTAATGGGTATTAAATTTTTATTGATAATAACATGGTTTACTTTGCCATCCTTGAAACTTACACTCAAAATTTTTTCTAAAGATTAATTTGTTTTAGAGAAAGAGGGTGCATGCAAGTGGGGGGAGGGGTGGAGGGTGAGAATCCCAAGCAGACCCCCCACCGAGCATGGAGCAATGCGGGGCTCAGAGTCACAACCTCTGAGATGATGACCTGAGCCGAAACCAAGAGGCAGGCACTTAAGGGACTGAGCCACCCAGGTACCCCCACACTCAAATTTTGTTCAGCAACTGATGTCAGGCAAGAGAAATGTGCTCTGATTTCCCAGTGGATCTGAACCTCATGACCCATCATCTAAGTCATTCAGACCAAAGATAAAAAATTTCAGAATTTTTGGTGCTAACTCTACAGATTATAAAACCTTAAAGACGGTGGGCATTTGCAGTCTGCTCAGCACCTCATCAAAGGCCATGCACAGAGGGAATTTAATGAACAGCTTTTGGTGGTGATAGTGGTGATCTCAACGCACAGCTTCACTTGGCCTGTACAAAGCAGATCAGTCATTCCTACTTGTAAAATTATAACGTGTGTTTTCCTGTTGAACACTTGCCAGAAATGTTGCATTGTGAAAGCTATAAACGACGGATGATGGCTGTGATGTCTTTGGAAGTAATTTGCTTAGCAAATGATGGATACTGGAAATACATTTTGGATGCAGGTGATGTAAAGTCTCTTAACTGTCTTTTGCTTATGCTATTTTATGTGGGGCTATAATTATGTTCAGTCACTTTAAAATCTATTTTTTTAAGTTTTTATTTCTTTATTTGAGAGGCAGAGAGCAAGAGAGTGAGTGAGAGAACAAAAGCAGGGAGAGCTACAGAGGGAAAGAGAAAAGCAGCCCTCCCCCTACCGCCCCTCCCTCCACCCAGGAAGCTCAATGCAGGGCTCAAGTCCAGGGATCCTGACCTGAGCTGAAGGCAGATGCTTAACTGACGGAGCCACCCAGGTGCCTCTTAAAATCTATTTTTAATTGTAGAGGAAACTTTTTACTTAATTTTAAGTTTCCATTTTTCTTTTTTCTAAGATCACTTCCTTTACCCGGCAAATATATATAGATATAAATATTTTTATATATTAATTTATAAATATTATATATCTATATATTTTTTAAATTTGAACGTAGTTGACACACAATGTTATATTAGTTTCAGATGTACAACTAGTGATTCAACAACTCTATACCTATATTATGCTATGTTCCCCATAAGTGTAGCTACCATCTGTCCCCATGCAATTTTTTTCAAATTCTTATTTAAATTCTGGTTAGTTGACATACAGTGCGTATTGGTTTCAGGAGTAGAGTTCAGTGATTCATCACTTACGTACAACACCCGCTGCTCATCATAGCAGGCGCCCTCCTTAGCGTCCATCCCCCGTCTAGCCCATCCCTGACTCGCCTCCCGCCATCAACCCTCCGTTTGTTCTTTATCATTAAGAGTCTCTTATGACTTATTTCCCTCTCTCCTTTTTTTCTTTTCCCCTTCCTGCATGTTCATCTGTTTTCTTTCTTAAATTCCACATAGGAGTGAAATCATATGGTATTTGTCTTTCTCGGATTGACTTATCTCACTCAGCATAATACACTCTAGCGTCACCCATGTCATTGCAAATGGCGAGACTGCATTCTTTTGATGGCTGAGCAACTTGCACACTGCACACACACACTCCCTACATCTTTATCCATTCATCAGTCATGGGACATTTGGGCTCTTTCCATTATTTGGCTATTGTTGACAATGCTGCTATAAACATCTTTGTATATTCACTGATTGGTATTTTACAAGCAGGTACCCCTTTGAATCTGTGTTTTTGTATCCTCTGGATAAATACTTAGTGCAATTGTGGGACCACAGGGTGGTTCCATTTGTAGCTTTTTGAGACAACTCCACACGGTTTTCCAGAGTCCCTGCCCCAGTCTGCATTCCCACCAACAGTACCAGAGGGTTCCCCTTGCTCCACATCCTCGCCAACACCCGCTGTTGCTTGTGTTGTTAATGTTAGTCATTCTGACAGACGTGAGGTGGGATCTCATTGTGGTTTTGATTTGTATTACCCTGATGATGAGTGATGTGGAGCATCTTTTCTTGTGTCTGTTGGCCATCTGGACGACGTCTTTGGAGAAATGTCTGTCTTTGTCTTCTCCATGCAACACTCTTACAGTACCATTGACTATATTCCCTACACTGTACCTTTTATTCCTATGGTTTATTCATTCTGTTGGAAGCTTGTATCTCCCATTCCTTTTCCCCTATTTTTTACCCCCTCCCCACCTCCCTCTGCTCTGGCAATCATCAGCTTGTTCTTTGTGTTTACAGGTCTGAGTCTGCTTTTTGTTTGTTTATTCATTTATTTGTTTTTTTTTTTTTTAGATTTCACATGTAAGTGACATCATATAGAATTGTCTTCCTCTGACAACTTTATATTTTATTTTCACATGAAAATTGGACATGATCAAAAAACTTTCTAAATTCCACTTCTCTAAAAAGTTATAAACTCAAAAATGTTATTAAATTACTTCCTGTTCTACCTTTTATATGTACTTTCACTTAGAAATTATCCCTATTCTGTATTTACACAATTTATTTTTAAAATTAAAAGTAGCGGGTTTTTGTGATGAGCACCGTGTATTGTATGGAAGGTTGAATCACTCAGTGCCTTGTACGCCTGAAACTAATACTACACTGTATGTTAACTCACTGGAATTCAAATAAAAACTTTAAAAAATAGCCATTCTTGTGTCTGCCCTGGGTTTGTAACTAGACCTGCATTTAGAACTTGGGCTAATTTCTTGCCCTCTCTAACCCTAATTTCCTCGTTAATCAAATGATTCCTACCTCACTGGGTTGTTTTGAGAATACAACTTTCTGAAATGATGGTATGTTCTATTTGCACTGTCCAGTATAGTATCCACAGCTCTGATGTGGATATTGGACACATATGAAATGCTCCATAAATATTTGTTGAATGAATAAACGAATTAATAAAAAATACAGGTAGTACCCAAAAACCAACCTTGACTATTCCTAGAAACATGTACACAAAGCTCTGTGTCCAAAAAGGGAACCATAGATAAGTCGTTTCATTTCAGGTGGATAAATAAATATAAGCCTAATTATATCCGTTACATTTTCTGGCATTTCTAGTATGCTCTAGGGGGTGTTCTGTGATATCTTTCACACGGAGCTGATACATAAGCATCAAGTGAAGCCAGATTTTTTATTTTTCACCATATCCAGTGATGTCCATCCTTGAACCAATAGTTATTCATGAAGCTAAAGTTTTTTTTTTTTTACTAAATTCAACACTTGTTTTCAGTTGTTTGCAAAAAAAAAAAATGGGTAAAATGTAATAAAATGTTCAAACAATTGCGCAAATACGTCACAAAAATTGGATGAAATACCAAAACAACTCTGTGATATGCTCAAAGAATTTATTCGCCCATCATGTTCAGCCAGAAGTCGGCGGTTCCAAGGCTTTGAGTGGCCTCTATGCAATGTAGGCTCGTGTGCTGTGTGAACATCCGATGTGTGCGCGGGGAGAGTTGCCGGAATCCTAGAGAAGACAGAAAAGTACATTCATACAGTTTCAAATAATTGTATAAAGATTTCATAGAATGATTTGCTAATTGTTTAAATGGCAATGACCATAACCATCATTCAAATCTCATCATAAGTTAACTATAAATGTTTACAAATAATTCTTTTTTTTCTTGATTTCTTCATTATAGGTACCATTCCTGCCTTAATCAATCTATTGAAAGGCTCCAAAATAAAATTACAGTGCAAGACAGTCGGGTTGTTGAGTAATATCTCGACCCACGCCAGCGTCGTGCGAGCTGTGGTGGAGGCCGGGGGCGTCCCGGCCCTGATCCACCTGCTGGCGTCGGACGAGCCCGAGCTGCACTCCCGCTGCGCGGTCATCCTGTACGACGCCGCTCAACTCGAGAATAAGGACGTTATTGCCAGATACGTGAGTTTCCTCGCAGAATCTCCCTTTGCCGGACGATTCCCTTCTTGGGAAGCTGGGCAGGTGCACGCCCGTGTCACCGTGCGCGGCGGACTCCGGGGGCGGGCTCCGGGCGGGACGACGGCAGCGGGGACCCGACCTGCCCCGGCCCGCCTGTGCCAGAAGCAGCGGCAGCTGGGGCGGCGGGGCCTGGGCCGCGGCCCTGAGCTCCGGCCGGGCGGGCCGGTCCCACCGCCGCTTTCCCCCAGGGAGGCCGCCCGCACCCGCACCCGCACCCGCACCCGCTCTCGCACCCGCACCCGCACCCGCTC